TTTTACAGGATTAAAAACACAATGAAAAAACTCCCACAAATTGTTTACACGTTAGCGAATTAATTTTTAAAATTTAAAATAGTTAAAAATATATATTTTTGAAAAACTAATCGGCCGAAAGAGCGAAGATAAAAACATAAACAAAATAGAAAAATATTGAAAATATTCGAAAAGCAAAGTCTGTGAATTCAGACCTTGTGTATATAATAAAACAGTTATTCCACTCACTCTCGTCGAATATGAGCGATAGCCGATTCGGCGCTACGCGCCTCATCGGCTATCGGCTCATATTCGACTCGAGTTCGTAGAATAACTGTTAAATAGTTGTCATGGCAGTTGGTGGTCTGCAAGCTGCTCGGGATGCTTTGATCTTTGCACATGCTGAAAATATTATAGACGACGAAGAATTTGTTTTACTCTACGATTACAATCGGTCCAAGAGGCTTTTTCCGTATTGGAAATTTAACTTGTTTGATTTGGAAATTTGGGACGATGTGGAGTGTTAAACAGAGATGCGGTTTCGAAACATAGGTCCGCTGTGGCGGACATGCATCTACTGAATAGAATCGTAGCACCGGGAAATAAAAGGCATTGAGCAGATAAAAGCATAGATGTGCACTCTAGCTGACCTTTGGAATCGATTTCTGGCATTTCCAGAGTCATAACACAAGCACAACGTGCAAACGTCACATTGTTGACGTTTTAAAATTGTATTTCCGGTTGGGATTGCTAGTAATCGGAATTTTTTATATACCGTGATAAAACTAAAAGATACAAATTTGAAGATACAATCTCGAAAATATAAACACTCCACACAGTAGTTATTGATAATGATTCGAACAAGAATATTGCAATGAAGATACGGGGCCGAAGTTATATCTTTGTTCAGATATTGCGTAATTTGATAATACACGATCTCACTTGACTTTCAAAGGCCATAAATCGCTACAATGTTGATAATGACTTAAACTATTGTGAGGAATTAGTTGATATTGTTTCACTGAATCGAATGAAGCATGCACTGGACTAACCTAGCACTGAACCGAAGATATATGAACATACAAAGTCGTCGAGAAAGAGTTCAGACAATTGTGTAATTTGATAACATGCGATCTCGCTTGACTTTCAAAGGCTACAATCGCTACAATGTTAATAATGACTAAAACTAGGAGTTACTATCGCAAGAAAAGTGTGGCTTTTTTGCCACATGAACTGAATGCAAAAGTTTATACTTCTAGACAATTCTCTAAAGGGAAGTCTACTTTTGACCTAATGGCCTCATTTCCACGTTTCATCTGTATTCATCATTGGTAGCATGGCAGGCCTGCACATGAAGGTTATATCCCCTATCTTTCCTGTACAAATTTGTTTCTCGGTCATCATTTAAGACCAATCACATGAATATCTTCTAAACTCTTCAGAATTTGCTCAGAGTCAATGTGAGTAAAATACTGCCATGTAACAGCCAGTAATTCACTTAATGAGTCACTTTCAAATTTCCAAGTTCCGCCGCTGGGAGATCGCCAGTTTGTGTTTTCTGCTGTATCTTCGATTCTTCGTCAATCTCCGTTAACACATATGCTTTCAAGTCTTCTAGCGCCCCTAACCGGCTTCAGTTTGTTCTTTGCTAAGCAAAAGTTACGGTACAAAATATTCTTAACAGATGTCATTATTGGAGCGAAAAAGCACACGTCAAGGATCTTGCAATATCAGGGCCATATATAGCCCGATGCACGTGCAAACCATGCCACTGGGAGTAAGTACTTTGACTTGTAGAATCGATTTCCGGTTTTTCAAGAGCCACAATGTATTACTGAAACTTTGTTTTTGATGCACGTTTCATGGGCCGCGCTAACAGGGGCGGACATATCGATTTTGACTGGGAGGGTGTAATCACGAAATGAGACCGACTCACTACTGAAATGTGAATCCAGACCGACTCTTGGTGAGTTGGTGTGTTGCAATAAAATTGAATGCAAAGCATGGAAATTGATGGCATTTATTAGGAATTTTGCAAGAACACGTACAGTTTGCTGTGAAACGTTATATTTTTATTAAGTGTCCGCGCTTAGTCAGGTTTGACCACGGATTAGCGATTTCGTCAAGATCGATCGTGTCTGTTAGATCGCGCTCACACGCAAAGAGTCAAGACTTCATCGAGGCGTTCCTGGTTCATTACTGAACGCATAACAGTTTTATACTGTAGTTTTTCCCCAATCCTGAGGCTAAGAATTACAAATATTTTTGGTCGAACATCATTGATCAGGTGCATAATAAAAAAGTGTTTGTGCTCAATTGTTGTAATATTTGGGCGCTGGCCCGCACTTTTGTTATTGGGGTACTTGTGCACCCATACAGCCTCGCATTTCTTACGTCACTGTAGGGCAAGAATAATGCTTCTTTACATAGAGAGAACAATACAGTCTGTCATTGAACTTGAACGCGATTGACTTGTATACCTAGTTATGGACCTGACTGTAAGCAACAATTGGGAACATCGCCTAGTCAGTGGAAACAATTTTTCGCTCCGTGATTTCAGATAAACCAGTGCGTCGTTCACTGATTGAATTTCTTGAGTTGCAGTCGGCACATAAAACTCTTTGGTAACAAAATGCATACGCATATCGTGTTACATGTGAACATACTTCCTAATATAACTCGGCTAGAAATTCGTTTTTGCACTTTACATCTTAGAAATATTGTAACTAATGTTAGCTATTTTGATCGAGATTCGTCGCATTTTGGAGTCTGATTTGGGGGGTTTGAAATTTTCGCTAATATAGAATATCACCCGTGAATGACTTTGCAGAACCTAAATTCCAAATAAAAGTGCCAACACGTAATCGTGACATATAGATATCTCCACGTTTGGAAAGTAAATGGAAACTTCATCCCTTTGCGCGTGTTTTGAATCATAATTCGTTCATAAACTCGCGAAATAAGTACGTAATATTTCTTCATATTTCTTCTCAGCTGTTTGATCCGTTTGAGCAAATTTCCAACTCAATACTCAATAGTCTGAATCTATCTCGAGTTTCGAAAATATTTAATTTGCTTCGCAAAGCACTGCATGTAAACAAACGCAATTTTGAGACCGACTGCACGTAGTTTGAGACCGACTGGATCATTTCTCTGGGGGGTGGGGGGGGGGTGAACCACCCTCCCCCCCCCCCACCCCCCCATTTACGCCCCTGCGCGCTAAGAATATAAGTATTCTGTAAATACCGAAATAAAAGATGAAAATCTGACGACACAAGCTTGAAAATAACACTCTAAATAGTGTTTTGGATTCTGGTTAGAATAATACTATTACGAAAAAGATATGTCCAAAGGGACCGAAGTTATGTTCGGCGAAATGTATGGCTAGTTTACATTGTTGATTGTTCGTTATATTATGAAATATGATTTCATACCTTACTTGTGTCGAACGCTAATGTTATTGTATTAGGCAAATGAGAACCATACAATACATGTTTTAGTTCTTGTTGGTATTTTGAACGCACGCTTTATCTTTACTAGCTACCACCAAGCTTTTCGCGCGGATTATATTTCGCGCAGTACTAAAATTTGCGCAACCAGCGCCAGCTGCGCGAATTCTAGACTGTACTGCGCGAATTTTAATACATGTAAGGTATATTGTGGACATTTGACTAAAACTATATCGTAAGGAATTAGGAGAAGTTGTTTCACTGAATCGATTGGTAGTATTTCTGTCTTCATAGCATGCACCGAACCGAAGAAATGAACCTTGCAAAGTCATAGAGTTGAGAGATTTGAAGACAAATTATGGTGCATTTATAATGACAATACTCGACTTTGAACAAACAAATCAATTAATAGTTAAATTATCAAACTCTTTCAAATACATAGTAGCCAGATATTTGTAGTAGGTACCCAGAAAGTAGGTAGCCATAGACATAGTAGTCTTCGTATAATAGCAGAGATATGAACCCTGTTGGCTGTTTCCCTCGATATTCGCAACTTTATTAAACCGGTTCATCACATCGATAAATAAACACTGAATATATAAACTAAACTTGCAGATATAATCACTTTTATGTACTGAAAATTTCGGGTAATTTTATATCGCCTTGACAAACCGCTACATAAACATAGAAAGCGAAAGGTATTTATCATAGTACACTTTAATTAATTGACTCCTTGTATTAGGACATTGAATGACCTTAAATGTTGTTTTGACCAATCGATTAGTGGGCTGTAAACTCATAAAATATCCTAGCTATATCGAATACTAAAAAGTTCAACGCCTTCATGTATGTCAACAGAAAGAAATAAAACCATCCCTACCTGAATTATTCTAAATGTTGTAGATCGTTTGCATCCATATTAAAAACCTCGTAAAATCTTGGGAACTGAATTGAAAGCATGTGTGCGCATGACAAAATTATGTTTGCCTGCCCCTCTCATTTAAAAAATGTCCCTGAAGCTTAATTATTTCCCCTGGAAAAATGGACAGACAGACAGACAGACAGACACAAGTCGAGATCTCGACAATATATAGGTCGCGCGAAAGACTGGGTCGAAAGGACTCTGGAGAAACCCAAGCATGTCAAGAATAGTGCGCTGCCTCGCTGACGCTCGGAGCAACTATTGTGCACTGAACCGAAGATATGAACATACAAAATCGTCATCCTCTCGCGCGGTTATACGGCATTCTTCGTATTGCACTCCGCTCGTGTTATTGACAAAACCATTTTATTGAGTACTTGTGTTATTTACAAAACCACTTATGGACAACAGCGGAACTAATCGTAGATAACCGACTTTCGCCCTATGCTCGCAATGCATTACATCGATACGTCATCAATCTCTCATCAAATGTGCTTTTCCCGACATATCAGTACCTCTGGTCCTGACAATGGTTATGCAGCTGCTGATTGAAAATCAGTAGATGCAAAAACGATTTGCCATCGCTCATGACATGTTTACAAATTCCTGAGCAAGTCATCTGTGAGCAAGGTACAGTCTGCAGTGGAATGGATGGTTTATGTGTTGTCTTGAGGAGATTGGCCTACCCTTGTAGGTGCACCGATATGGCACCTCGATTTGGGCGAAGTACACTTGAGTTGTGTCTCATTTTCAATAAAGTAATAGATACCATCTACGAGACTCACCACCATCGCCTTGAGAGTTGGGACCAGTCTTTCCTAGCTCCAGAGCAATTGAACAATTATGCACTAGTAGTCACACTGACGTGATGCCCCTAGTCTGCAAAATTGTTTTGGGATTGTGGATGGGACAGTACGAAGAATAGCTCGACCAAAGTATACTGATCATACTGATGTATAATGGTCATAAGCGAGTACATGCCATCAAGTACACGCCATCGACTCGAGTACATGCCATCCATAACAAATACAAATATTGAATATTTAAATTAATACAATAATTCATAATATATATTATATACATATGTATCATATTTACAAATATAGCGTGTCAACTCTTCCCCACTAATTCCTGTCGCTCTTTCCTCTTATACCATTTTGTTTTTGTGCTTTCTCTCGAGGACCCCATAATGGTCCCTCACAGCCCGAGCTGTTACTTCAATCCCTGGGAAGCTTGGTTGCAATTTTTTGGCAATGATAAGCCAGCCAGCTGCCAGCACCCCTCTCCCTTGACTTTAATTTGTGATGTAGCACGCCCTCTGCTGCCAGCTCTGGGCAGCATTAGGTCATTTGTCTCATTCTGATTCCAGCTCAGAGCAGACCTGAAAAATTTTACAAAAAGATATTGCAATTTAGAATTGCATAATAATACTGACTTTAATAAAAGTAACATATTTTTAAAAAGTAGCTTGACCATTAACCATGACCATGTTGTAAAAATTTTGGCAGACACTGCCAACCTCTAATATTTTCTAATTTAAAAATTTTATGAGCTTTGTCACATCTTTATTTATAACCATTTCATAACATTTCTAAAACCATTTGCAACTACCGCAATCCCAAAATTTTCACTTTGTGTTAATATTAATTGTTAGTTTGCTTACTTTTTGTGGCTAGCCCGTTTGCGGGCTAGCCATTAGTGAGCTTAAGCAAGCGACGTTTTTGACAACACGGACGTCGACCGGAAGTAAAGTTGACGTTTTTCACCAATCACAGCCCTTGACTCAGTCTTCTGACGTTACTCATGCCGTTCGTGTTGTCAAAAACGTCACTTGCTTAAGCTCACTATTATCACATAGTACACGAACGCGATGACCGATGATGATCATGGTGTCCAGTCCGGATTTTCGTAAAGTCTCGGAAGTAATCGGAAGCGCCCGTATTTTTCTGCCGACATTTCACATTTGCATTTCGAGG